ATATTATAACCAATACGACTACATAAAATCTGGTAACGAAGAAATAAATAAAATAAATTCCAAAAATAAGTAAGCCCACCAATAGCTACTCAAAAAAATACTATACAAGGAGGCTTTTCTAAGTGTATCCATTTTTTTTAATCAAATACTAAACATTAATAATGTTATATAAATAATAAAAGTATACGACGCATTTATGAATGACTACCGCATTGTCAACAAGTTTGTTTTTGTTTTTAGTGAATAGAATGCCAATTTTAAAAAAAGTTTTTTTTTTTCTATAAACGATTATACTGCCGAACTGCCTTACCTTTATAAAAGCCACGTTGTATAATATATGATAATAAAAACCAACGAAATGTTACGAACAAAAAATAATTTTACAAATCCGTCTATATATGACGAAGCTATGCCCGAACATACCTTCATAAAAAAAATATAAAAATCCGAATTGATCCTCCTTTCAAAATTTTTAAAACCTTCTTTTTGAAGTCGGTTAAAAATAAGTACTTTATTTTTACTTATATCTATGATTATAAAAATTAAATTATAACTTCTTATAACTTGACCACGACTACGTGACCCCCCCCTGGCACCAAAGCTGGATCCGCCCTTGGAGGCAGGGTTGCGGAAGATGGCGTGTTTGTGTTCTCATTTACCTACCGATGCGATAGAGGCACAAAGAAAAAAAAACTATTATTTTTTTAAACGATAAATATTTGCAGATGAATAAACGAAAACATTCGGCGCTGCGGGGTTCGAACCTGCGTCTTCTCGTTTCGCGGCCAGACGCTTCACCAACAGCTAAAGATTCATTTCTCTAAGAAAATCGTGAGATATGTTTGTTATCGAATGGTGCTTACAACTGTATTTTATAGTTATCAATTTCTGTGGAAAATTAAGGTGAATGGATAAAATTCATGAGATGTGAATTACTTGCACGCATCTTAATATCAATAGCGAGTGTGGGCGGACCATAAATTTGTGGTTCGGTATAGGAATGCATCTTCATACCGATATAGTAACGGTACAATAATGTGATTACTGTAAAAATACACTTATCTTTAATACGTAACGGTCAGTATAGGATTAGGACGTAAATCTTGAGAGAATTAACATTATCCGATGAACTTTCTTATTTTCTGTCATAACAATTTCCATACTAACAGATATTGTAAAAATCAAAGATAGGTGTATTTTAAAGCCAATATGTTTTTATTAAGGTTTTCAATCAATCAAGGAAGACATACCCTTCAATTTTGTTAGTCCACTTTATTATACTGGAGTAGGAAAGTTTGTATGTTAAACTTTAATCTCAGAGTTATTTCAAGAAAGTGTATTTAAAAAAAATTGCATTACATAGCTTGTTTATTGAGAAAGGCTTTATAAATTCTTGCTAAGATAAATAGGTATCGGTGCAGAAAGCAAAGTCCCTACTGAAGGATTCCAATGCGCATGGACGAAAACGTGTGACTAGACCTGTTAAATAAATGAAGAAGTGAAGTTCACGCAGATTACAGATACAAAAGCATCAAGCTGGAAGATATATGTTGTCTTATCCCAGTAATTATTAACTTATACAGCGAGTCTTTATCATCGCGACAATAAATGAACACACATATAGAGGATAACTTTTTAAAATTGTATTAAAGATATACATTCTTTAAATATCAATATTTAACGAGTTATCAAATTTTTCAAAACAAAGAATTTAAGAACACCCTTACGTATAAAACTTTAATGTAAAGTTCATTTGTAAAGGTGACAAGCATATGAATGGGTGGAATGAATTTAAAAGAGACAAAACATACTGTTAGAAGGAGAGGCTTGTAATGCGGCGCTGTGGCAACGAATGAAAAAGTCTCTGAATGTATGAATCAGTCAGATGTAGTTGTATAGGATGTTACAAATTTTTTTTTACTTAATTAGTTTGTTTAAAAAATATTTTTTTTAATTATGGATTTTTTTAACGTTAATATTTTTTATGATTATTGGCAAGTAGCGTTAGACGTGTGTTCATTTATTGTCGCGGTGGTAAAGACACGCTGTATACTTAAGCTTTGTGCCATTTTGACTTTAAGCAATTATATTAGAGGTAGATATGACACTATCGCACCGAAACTGAGGCACCCACCGCCAATTCGTGTAATTAGATTGCAATTCCATGTAGTGCCATCTCTTACCGCATCATATGTTCTGTATCATCTGTCACATTCACTTCTAAATGTCATATAATGTAACGCGGAACAATTTTTAAAGGACGCATAGTATTGACATGTGCAATCCTTATTAAACATTTGACTGAACAAATATTCCGCCACTTAGCGGTCTGTAGATAACGGTTTGATGGAAAAGACACGGGGGATTTCTAGTACAAGGTTATACAACATTGCTGCAATGTTTTCATCACACCTTATAACACTATAGGCGATTATCAACACCTATCAAATAATAATTAATTACTTGAATTCACGAGAATACCGCCATCTTTCGCAATTATAAAATTTAAGTATCGATTTGTGATTTCAAAATAAATGTCACTACATTCATTTAACAGTGGTAGGGCCACGTAGCAGTCTCGGCTGTTGTACGAATGGGCAGGTTCGTTCGGGTAAGTACCACGACCTCACAGAAGAAAGGCGTAAAGTGGAAGTATATAATACTTTCGCGTTCCGTCTGGTGAGTGAGGTGGCCAGAGCCCAATTTTCAAAAGGTTGTCAACGCATCTGTAACCCTCGGGTTTCGCAGATGTCCATGGGCGGCGTTATTCACTTAACAGCAGGTGAACCGTCTGCTCGCTTGGTAACTTTTCACAAAAAAAATCATATATAGGCCTAATAATAAATAACTGTTTTTAGAAGTAATGGCTATTTGTCTGAAAAGTTTGTTGCGAATAGACTCAAGTAGAAAATAATAATTTTAACAAAATGTATGTATATTACATTAATATATCTTAGGTAAGCGCATAAGGTAGTTGTAAAAACAGTTTACGTATATTTTATTTTAAGAAGCAGTTAAGATGTACATACGTCGATTAATTCTAAATTGAGCTGGAACCATGATCACGCGTTATATGAATTTTTGTAAACAGTACGAAGAAAAACTTCAATATGTTCACAAAGAAACTGCATAGTACTTTCTCGTAGTTTAGTACTTAGTGAGGAATATGTATTTTAGCAATAATTTCACGATGCGACTTGCGATATGAATGTGTCGAACATAAGAACACCATTCCCACGGCGAAAGAAGAGCGTGGCCCTCGTTTTGTTGTTAAGGAGTAAAAGAGAGGGCCTGTTCACATTAATAAGTGAGTGTTGCTTAATACTTTGCTTTTGACAAATGTTTAGAAACGTTACGTAATATTAATGCCTGTCGGAGATCGATAAGGACCGAAATAGTTTTTATTAAGAAACATTCTATTGTCATTTCTCTAATTTAATACTATGCGATAAGATAATCACGTTTTAATAAAGCTTTTAAAAGAAAAAAAAATAAACGAGGACAAACATCAAAGAACAATTACAAAAATCTGTAGGCCATACAAACGATTCGAACTCACTTCCCGCAGTGCCGAAGTGTATCGGTTTGAATCGGATCGTAGGGAATCGAAAAGATCATAAGTAATCACTCGTATCATCTTTAACATTGACGATGTTATAGAGCAATTAACGGTATGGTTAAGTAGGCGAAAGCCGCGATAGCTCATTGTCCGGGCGCTCGCCTTTAATTCAATAAAGTCGAGCAACCTCAGTTCGATCCCCGATGCCGGCACCAATGAAATTGTTAATTTTGAGTAGTGACTTATCACGTGCTCCGCGGCGAAGGAAAACATATTCGGAAAACCTGCATATTTTCGAAATAATAACAACAAAACATATTTGGAAGTTATGTGAAGTCCACCAATCCCAGCAGTGGGACATGTATAGGCTATTACTTTACTAACACTACCACGTTCGTTTTTTTTCCAGTGAAAGGTGATTTAGATTTTTATAGTGCTAATCTCTGCACGATGAAACTTTTTGAAATGAAATTTGTAGAAAAAAATGGAAGAAAATTTTTTGCCGCTGCGGGAATCGAACCTACTTCTTCCTGACTCGCGCTCTAGGGCGCGAAAGGGGATTTGTTTGTTACATATTTCATAGGCGTATTTGGGCATCATAAGAAAAAAAAAGTTAAATTTGAAAATTTGTTAAAGGTCGTCTCCTTCCGCCGTCGTCGTAATAAAATAGTCGGCCAACTGCTTTATTACGTACATGAAATTTATAGGTTAATATTTTTCAAAAGTTGCTAATCATTTTCGTGTATTTATTTATTGTAAATTATATGTAGTATTCTCTTACATGGTTGAATGGTTGTTTAATTCATAGAAACATTTCGTACCTGATAAAAACTTTAAGTAAGTAGGCAGTTTAAAAACTTTAAACAACTTTTACCATCGCAAAGATTTTAATTTGGTTCAAAAATTTTATTTAGATTTTTACTTTATTTTTAAAGCAATTTCCATGGAATCCGATTGGATTGAACTCTGGAATGGAGTCTGAAAATACTACCATGTGTAGCGGACGCAAAGTTTGATCCAATCTTCCTTCCATGTAACAACAATAGGATTGATAATCATAAAATGGATAAACGTTGTGCAATTGAGTTAACTCGACCCCCATTACTCTAACCAGGGCACCATGCAGTATCATGTATACATCCAGGAAGGTTGTTATTTCTTTCAATCATAGATTTAAATAAGTATGCTAAACGTTTAATTTGTAATATTAATTTATATTAGTAGTTAATTTAAATAAACATTTCAATAATTTTATTACATTAAAAATTTATAATTATCAATGAAGATAATTTTTATTTAGATAAAAAAATATTTTTATGGAATCAGAATCATCACTGTCATTTATTTCTCAATTATAGCCCTATTAATAATAACGATGAAAGAATTATTGATGCACTATGCTTATAGAAGGTATGAATGTGTAGTGATGTGTTATGCTTACCATCGGAGTACACAAACGGCAAAAACAACACTATCAGACCCGCATACACCGAACTGCTTAATTTTATGTTTTTTCTAAAAATGTTCCACTTTTTGTTATAACTACCGATGTAACATATTTCATACTGATTACACTCCATCACAAGAGCTTAAACCGTAAATACGAAAGAAAAAATATCACTAATTTATAATAAAATTCAAACTTAATTCGCATATTTAAAAACTAAAAATATTGATATCATTTTTCTCGATTGTAAATTTCGCGCCAATGTTTTGTACGGAACGCGCGAACGCGCGCGGTTGGTTCGCAAATGAATCGCAGGCACAGACCTCCCGCCATACAGCCTTTAAATAGTGAAATAATATAAAGATCGTGATCAATTTTCCACTCTGTGTTCATCTGCGTTCTGTTTACTTTAAATACGATATTTACATTTTGATGCGAGAGAAAAACTATTTAATGACACAATCGTGGCATGTCTACTTAAAGAATGTATAGCTTAGGGAAAGTGGGTTAAAATGTGTATTGGGCTGACTTACAAATACGGTGCATAAATAGTTGTGGTGATATAATATAAAAGTCTTATACATTATTCATAATTATGAGCATCGATTTAACTTTTATCTTGGATTTATGGATGCGGGAAATATGGCCATTGAAGTCAAATATACGTTTGAGAAAAAAAAGGTGGAAACGGGTGGACCGAGCCTATTCGCAATAGAGCTTTAAAATTATTTACGCTCATACCAATAAGACTTTATTTAAATTGATGAAATTGTTAATGGCAATTTCATCAAGTTCGTGAATTCAACTCTTGCACGGCAGTAAACACGGCACAGCACGGCGGTAAATGTCGTGAGAATCTGCAAATAGGCACAATAAATACAAAAATTTATTTTATTTGAAGATACGTGAAGACTGCTTATTAAAGCTGGAGTCAACTTTTCTAGACTTATATGCATTCCTTTACTTATTTTTTCTCTAGAAACTAAAAACATAATTTGAGACTGATATAGAAATACGTTTTTCATGAATTCTCTTAATAACATAACTCTTTTGGAGTCTTTGTTAACATTTTATTTATAAACTTTAGTTATTAACCTATTATACGTGCGGGCTTTAAAGATCTTCTTTTTTATTGGATTAGTAACATACAACTGAGAAATTCAGTACATTAGATCACCACCGTCTTAAAATATCATAAAAAGCCATTTATTATGATTCTTACAGGTAGAGGTAATATTGTTCCAACCTACGTTTTTACTTTACACATTTGTCATAGCAAAATTGTCGTAGGTTAGAGCCTTGCGAAATAATTTTCACAGGCGTACCATCAACAACGGTTTATTATTTTATTTTATTTTTTATTAAAATACAACAACAGCGTAATATACAGTAAAAAATTGTGTTCTAAGCCAATTCTTATACATGTTGGAGAAAGCTATGTGTCAGGATGTTAGTGTGTATACGAGTAATGCATAATATTATGTGTTTATTAAATTACATTAATTGTTAAATATACTTGGTTAAATTCTTCCCATCGGCGAATTCAGTTTTCATCTTGTTCATGAGGTTTTTGGACATGCTCTTCTCATACCACAGCTGCGTTATAACTGTCATGTTCTTGGTGACGACAGCCTGCATTATCTTGCGTTACCAAAGGCAGTACATAAATCTTCTAAATTCGAACCCATATGTTTAAATTTCTAATGGCGAAAATGGAAGTTGATTTTGGTGTTACATTTGATGCTGGTTGCATATTTTGTTAATTTATCAATAAGATTCAATACGTATTATATATGGATTAATTAAAACCTATGCTAGAAATTAATTAAAATTTTAACTAATTACTGTATAAAAGCGAAAAATTTGTTGCAGTTAAGTTTCGATGGATGAAAGGCTTGTGTTTTTTCATTATTATCTCAAAGTATATATATATATATATATATATATATATATATATATATATATATATATATATATAATATGTGAAATGTTGCCAAATGGGCAGACGGTTCACCTCATGTTAAGTGACCGCCACCCATGGACATCTGCTACATCCGAGAGTTACAGATGCGTTGACAACCTTTTGAAAATTGGGCTCCGGCTAGCTCACTTACCATACGAAACGGGAAAGTATTTATCATACTTCCACTTTACGCTGGTCTTCTATGAGGTCGTGGTACTTACCCGGAAGGGTCTGCCCATTCGTGCAACAGCCGAGACTGTTACGTGGCCCTACCACTGTTAACTTATTATTAAAAACAGAGTCGCGAAAGCTCAGTATACGGGTGCTAGCTTTTAATTAAATATACCCTTACTACCAGAGTTCAAATTCCCGGGCCAGCACCAATTACATTGTTAGTTCCAATTTTTAACGTTCCCTTATGACGTGCCCAGCGGCGAAGGAAATCATCGGGAAAAATTGAAAAAACGAAGATTAATATAATCATACTAGCGGCTGCGCCATGTTATCTGTGTTGTAGGGGCACGGGGAACGTGAGTCAAAGACGAGCGCTGCGTTAAGACTGTTTTAATAATTATTTCTCAACCACCCTCCACATGCTAATACATAATATGACAGACCCAACAGACGTTGTCCTGTACACGCGACTTAAATTCGAAAACAACTTATAATTTAAAAAAAATAACTAAAACGAATCTAAACCATTCTGGAATCGACCTGAAGACACACAAAAATTTCATTAAAATCGGTCCAGCTGTTTAGGAGGTTCAGTGACGGTCACACGTACAGAAGAATTATATATATAAAGATAATCCGCGGTCACTTAAAGTCCTTTGCCCAGCTTTGGGATACATATATGTTGTTACTTTATTTACTATGTTGCACCTAGATTGCATAGAGATTCGACGATAAAAAGAAAATCATGTTGGATGTTAACTAAAGTAGCAGCTTAGAGTAGAAAAAGGATAATTTTAAATATTATAGTTTAAAGTATTCATACTAATTATGAGTGTACCTAATTATTTTAACCTAAGCTCCAAGTATTTATGTTATGTTTTATTTTGAGCCAGCACCTGTTATGAAATTGAACACAAATTTTATAGGTTTCCCATATGTAATCTTGAACAATCAGTTTTTATTTGCGTTTTTTATTATAGCGCATAATATACGCCTCAACGAAATTGAAAACAAGCGATAAACAATAATCTATTTTTTTTGCTTTTGACATAATAATATTCAATTAAAAAAAAAAAAAAAAACGAGGGAACTATACAATAAAAAAGACAATATTAATTGAGCTATTTCTAACACGTAACATTCTGGACGTGACGCAATTTTACACCTAAAAATAATTCAATATCTTTTTACTGTCGCAACCGCAAGCCAACAATATCTCAATTAGATAACCTTTATGTCACAGTGAAACAAGATTACAAGCCCTAAAAAGAAATTACTTAATGCGCAAATTCCAATCTGACATCTTAAAAGGCCTTAGAAATGTAATAAAGAGCATTAAATTAATTACCGATAAAAAGGAAGTTTGAAACACATTGCGTGCGACAGCCATTTTGAGATATCGTGCCATTTGTTCAGTTTCGTTTTGAAAAGTGGTCACCCAGTTCTTGTGCTGTTAGTCATGTATTTGTATTTTTAATTTGTATAATGTGGAAATCAGTGTTTTTATTCCTTATGTTATTATTTTTTTGTAACGGGCGAAAGCACAGCCGGATCTTTATAAATAAAAGACATTTCTGTTCTCAAGACTCGGCGGAGAAGATGAAAGTTCATGTTTTCCCTGTGTATTATCCAGTTATTAATCCGTATATGTATATTCCTCAATATTATTGGTTAGGATAGAATTAAAAAAACAAAAAAATATGTTTTTGATATACATATGTAACAACAATACAACGTATTTCTTATAACTGATATTCAAGTTTACATTTTTAAATCGGCCAACTCGAGCAGGAAACAATTCAAGAACGTTACTTTAGTAAAAATCACGTTGGTAAAATTGTATCTGCCATTCTGATCACAAATAATCTGAGAAGAAAATGATATCAAAATGAAAATGTAAGGAATAATGTGATATCGACATAAACCAAATATCATATCGATGTTAGAATTGATATTTAATAATTTGTACAAAGATTAAATCGTTGTACTTTACGAGCTATACTTTCTAATAGGGCATAGAAAAACATTATATCAAGACTATGTCGATAACGGTTCAAATGGCAATTGCTGTAATTGCAATGGTTGCTTCAGTGCACGGTTATGACAGGGATTGGGGACCCATCATTGGTCCCTTCACACCTGGTGTGGTGAATATAGCAAGAGATTGCAGCGAGACGAACGGCAACGCTTGTCTAGTGATACCCTCTAAGGAAATCTGCAAGAAAAAGCTGGCTAAGCCAACGGTGCCCTGGTTGCCGCTTCCCTGGTGGTATTTCTACTGCAAATGGCTCATGAGCCCAAAAACGATGACGAAGTCGGCGACAACCTCGAGCACCGTCCACGAATTCTATATGAACACACTCAAAAACTTAACGATGTACAGAGAACGAAGGATTCAAAATAAATTTCTCTAGTGATCTTTTATTTATTATTGTCATAACTACGTATTTAATTTTTCTATGATGTATCGTATTTGATAGCGCAGAACGCACATGCTATCTAAATTTAACCACTCGTGTGAAAAACAAAGTTAACAAGCTGGCGGCCATTTTACCTGATGTCATTTGATAACTGCCAACCGTGGACATCTATAACACCGGGTTGCAGACGCGTTGCCACCTTTTAATAAAGTGCACCCCATCTACCTCACTCACCACACGAAACGCAGAAGTATAACACTTCCACTTCATGCCGGCCTTCTGTGAGGCCGTGGTACACACAGGATGAGTCCGCCTATTCTTGCAACAGCAGAAGTTGCAGCGTGGCCCTACCATACCATATACAATTTAAACAAATTAGGGCTTTACAATGTGGCCGTCGCATAATAAAGATTAATGAAATATTCTGATGAAAATACAATATTTCTACGTCCCAACATTGGCCTGAGGTCATACGTTGGTACATACGGTGCGTTAAATTGTAGCACATTGTCGGGCGGTCCTATTAGTGGGCGAATTGATTTTTTTATTAATTATTTTATCATGAGTATTTTCATTGATTATTTTATCATTTACTCAAGCTGAAAAACATGATTGATACTACCAATACTAAATTCTTCAATCAAACTGTTAAACCAATATCTGGCGAATAAGCTATGTCACTCAATTCTCGTTTAATAAGTCCGCCAGAAGTATATAAGTATTTTATTAAAATTCGGAAAACATTTAACTAAGTGAGATAGCCGTCGTGAATTTTACGGAACCGGAACGTGAATATGGTTTTACTTATGTATGAAGGGACCATGATCTCCCATAGTCATTTTAAGATACATTTTCCATTTGTGCGCTTTATGGTGACTCACGCTAAGTCACAATATGTTAATTTGATTACCCAACGCCCAAAATGTAAGTCTACTTTGTACGAAGAAAAAAAAAAACAACTAAAGAACGTAGAGTGAAGATTATATATTAGACATTAGAAGGTGGGAGTCAAATGATATATTTTCGTAAAGTTGTTTCTTTTGGATTCTGCAATGAAAAGTCTTCACCACAAATCAATCCTAAGGGTAGGTTTAAAGTTTTTATTTTAATCTCCTCATAATCTCTTCGTGTGAGCCAAGACTAGCCTAACCGTCGTAGGCACAGTACTTCCACTCTTCCTGTATTCATTTAGCCATTTTAAAGCCCACCTGTGCCTGTTGTAGTTTTCGCTTCGCTTTATTTCGCTTCTCTCCCTCAGACCTTCGCAAAGGTTGTACCACCAAGGCAATATTATGTACTGCCCGAGGGACATTTTATACATTTTGGAGCAGAACGCGTTGTTCGGCACTTTCATGTTTATGAGAGATTCCTTTCCCAGGTCTTCTGGGATGTAGACGTTGTGCTGTTTGGACGTTGGCTTCGTGATCGGCCGCCATCTAGGCTCTGCGACCTTCGCCGTTATCAGGCATACGATGCAGCCGACCTAACGACCAAAGGGATGAAAATAAAAAGAAAAGTCGTATGTGTTTCTTTTCAAGAAATCTTTTAATTAATGGGGAGTCGATGGCTGCAGGTGTCTGAAGGTCTTGATACGTGTCAGTCTATTGGGAGGCTTATGTTTAGCAGTGGACTTAAAAAAATTATGATGATGAATTTAACTAATGATGCATATTTTATATATCAGTTTTTGATGTTCAAAACTCTTTTGAATTAATTTTTTAAGAATTTAATATCAATTACAAATTCAACAGAAAAGGATTTGGTGCTTGATTGATTACTTTAATATTGCTTTACTGCTGCTGTCGACGTCATTTTAATATAATTTGTGGGTAGGTTTTACACGCCCAATTATATGTGAAGACTGAAGTACTTTTACTCACCAACGTTTTTACCATCACAAAGAATGGCATATAATGAGCAATAAAATCTGAAGAGTGCGGGTTTTAATTTTTTAATACATACGTCATTAACTCTATGCTATCGCTGAATACTATACTTTCATTATAATTACGATGCTGTAAAGTTGTTATTATCTAGTAAAATAACATTATGATAATATCACGTTCGCATACAGTGGTGAATGCATATACGAGAAGCTTATCAAAACAATATTTTATTTTATGGCTGGCTATAAAATATTATCATTTTTTGTAGCTTTATTGTATGATGTTCTATTACATTTATGCGAATATTATGCGTTGTTGAAGGATAACCTTTGCCACTGACTTTGACAATGCGTTAATTTTCGTACTAGTTTTATGTGAGCCTGTATGAGAAAGCGGTTCAAACAAATGACACTAGAGATGTCGTTATTACCTCATCATCTTCGGTTACCGCGTCATATGTAACGCAATAGTAAAATAATTCTACTTCGCGCCGGTCAACAACAACCTTGCTGCAAGCTTTTGTTATGACGTGAACACGATATTTTAATATAGATAAGCTGTGATTGGCAACATCTGTGATTTTCGTATGTTGTTTTTACTGCACACATAAATAAGTCTTGACGATGAAATGCTTTCCTTTTTTTATTGAAAAGCGGCAATCTACCAAGTGGCTCACCTGTTGGTTAGTACTATTTGAAACCCATGGGCAATTGCAATAACATAGTAGTCACAAGTGCGTCGCTGTCGTTTAATGTACGAATAGGCCCTACCCATTGTGGGAGCCTTACTCATTGTGGAGGCCATACCCGCCATGGAAGCCCTACCCATTCTGGAGAGCCGTTTTTTCAAACCCGTGGGTTCTAGCTAACCAATGGGTTCTGCGTTCGATGGAGCTTCAATAGTCTACGGACTGTAAACGCTAAGATCAGTTAAAACATAAACATAAGAAGTACGTATAGGATCTTATGTTGCGGGTCCCAAGTCGTATCGGAAATTCGGACAACAGTTTCCACAAACTATATGTGTGTGGCAGAAAATTGCTTGCAAAATGCATGATGGTGAACGCCTAGGGTGATATTGATGGTATTTGGTTAAACAAAAAGCTCTTACTGTCTGTACAGGCTTAACACCCCTGTGTTAAGCGTGCGTTGAAATACCAAGTAACGGGCACAATCATTCAACATTCGATATCATACTTGGAAATTCTATTGTTACAAGCGCTATCGATGTTTTGGAAAAACAAACAATCAATTATTCCCTATATTTCCGATAACGTATTACTTGACGTAACAATGTACTTGCTGAAATCTTGTTAGAATGGAATTACTTGAAACGGTTCGTAGCTAACATCATTAATGTGTTACAAATTACTTCCACTATATTATATTACATGATTAATACCGTTTTAATAAGTGAAAATGAATCGTGATGCCCTTATCAAGTCTCGTGATCGTGTAAATGGTAGTGTAGGTTCGAGAATGGAAAAAGTAGTCTAATTCTGCAGTAGATGATTAAAAAATAGCGATGGCTTTTATCCTTCCGAATATATATATTTGTTCAGGTGTAGTATGTAACAAAATTAGTAAGATTGCCATAGCAGAGACAGGAGACAAAGGTATCATGGAACCTCTGAGTTCCAAACCATTAAGAAAATATAAAGATTAGTTATAACTTCATTTCACATTTTTAAAATAAATAATAAATTTATCAACCTTTTTTAAGTTGCATTGACACATCATGTATATGTTTTCATTTCTAGATAATAATAATACTTCAATTGACGAACGTGCTCTCGAAGAGGTACCGGTCGTCATCGGAGGAGAGCATAGAAAACCTCATCTACTACAAAGACTGCAACCACAAACGGAAGGAGGGTGCAACGCAGCCAACGATACTCCGGGGCCCGCCGCAGCCGCCTCAAGAGTGCAAAATGTGCTGCAGCATGTGCTGCGGTGACGAGTGTGTCCAGAGTCAGCACCAGTCGGTCATCGGTAGACAGTCTCCGATTATGCCGCAGAGTGGAATGCCAAAGCCGCAGCCTTTTCGACAGCCTGTCCCACAGTCCGCTTTTAACCAGAAGGGCAAGAAGAAGAAGCCACGCCAAGACCTGCAACCTCCCATTGACGGTAGGCGAAATGTAGAATTCACCAGGGAACACATAAGAAGTCTGATTTCACAAGACCAGGATATTAGGAAGATTCTGAAGGATCTAGTGAGGGTGACAATGCAGAAGGTCGACTTGATGGAAATGATTAACTCCAGAAGGGCTGTGAACGATGTAAATTCGGAAGAAGAAAAAAGTGACGACTATCAAGAATAGCCTTTTCCTTCTTTAAATAGCCTTCGAGTAAAAGTTTCCAAGAGTAAAAACGGCGATATCAAACTCTTAAAAACATTGCAAATAGCTTTAGTAGAGTAAGAAAGTGAAGCTATAGAATAATTTTATCATTAGTACAATTAGTTTTTACAAATAAATATTTAGTAATTCGTGTATTCTTTGCGTCTGTCTGTTTCAATTTGATAAGAGCCAAAACTATTCTCAGTTTTTTTACAATGTCAACATTATTCTGCTATTATAAACAGACGACACAGAAGAATACAAAAAGATTTAAAAAGTTTGCAACGTTGTATTAAAAAAAAACATTCGTACTGTCTAAATTTATTTACTTTATTAATTTATCCACTAACTATTGAATTCTACATACATACTTTTTTGTTTAGTGTAAAAGAGCATATTAATCTCAACTAGCAAAAATTAAATATAGATGACTAGCTACCGCCCCCGCTTCGCATGGATAGCATAGACGATAGACGTTTTCAACAAACTGTCATATTTCAAACAGTTCACCGATGATATTGTACATAAATGCGAGGTAGTTATGACACTAACGCTCCACTCAAATTACGCCAACCGATTGCAATGGTAGTTATCTTTTTTTTTCTTTAGTTGTTTTAGCTATTAGTTCTATATCATCGGTCACATTCACTTATATATGTCATAATGTAAAGCGGAACAATTTTTAAACGCAGCGCAGTGTGGACATGCGTCATCCTTATTAAAGCATCATTACAGTTATGTAATACAAAACATTAATACATTTTCACTTAAGTCTTCCTCGCGTATTATGGTGTAAGCCGCGTGAAAATACGTTCATAAGTCTGCTTAAATCGCGTACAGAAAGGCTCTAAACTATAAATGATAGTTTCTTTCAAAATATGATACGCCAATTGTAATTTTTTCATAGTAATAAACGTGAAATTGATAAGTCTCTTTTATCATGTTTATGTACGTCATAAATTCGAAATCGACGTCCCAGATTTGCATTTAACATTCCGTCTTACTCCACTGATCCTGAAGAGTTGATAAAAAGTTGAATTTTGTAAATTCCGCAACGTTATGCCTCGACTTTTTTTAAAAGTCCGTCGTAACTTTTTGTAGAAATGAAATACTGATACGGTACTCGAAGTAATAATGCAAATTGGACTAAATTTTTTACGCGAATAACTTGAGCGTCCGAAAAGATTTTCATCGCCCACAATTTCTATAAAATATGAATCAGCTCGCTGTGCCCGCGACTTTGTCCGCGTGGAATTTCAAATAAATAAATTTTCTAAAATAAACGTAGCCTAAGTTACTCCTTATTACTTAGCTGAAGTAATAAGGAGTAACTTAGGTTAACTCTACCAGCGAAAGTCTGTCAAAATTGGTCCAGCCTTTACAGAGCCTTTTTTTCCTAACGGTGGTAGGGCCACGCAGCAGCCTCGTTGCACGAATGGGGAGGCTCGTCCGGGTAAGTACCACGACCTCGCAGAAGACCGTCGCGTCAAGTGAAAGTATAATACTTTCGGGTTTCGTCTGGTGAGTGAGGTGACCGGAGCCAAATTTTCAAAAGGGGTGTAGCAGATGTCGGCGGGCGGCGGTATTCACTTAACATCAGATGAGCTGTCTGCTCGCTTGGCAACTTTTCACATAAAAATAACGGAGATCAGCTAGAACAAATAGACAGAAAGAAAGGTAAAAAATGCTATCCATAATTCCATACTAATATTATAAATGCGAATGTAACTCTGTCTGCCTGTATGTCTCGCTTTCACTCCAAAACTACTGAACCGATTTAAATGAAATCTTATTTTAATATTATAAACAGACACAGAGACAGTTTTATTTATCTTTATAGATAAATAAAGGAAAGAAGCGGTGCTTAGAAAATACTAAAATTGCGAACGTATCCATTTTCAATTCGATCAACTCGTTTTTTCTGAACCTATTTAAATGTTATTGTTATCATATACGTTATCAGGAAAAGCTAGTTTGCGTCATCAACAATGAAATGCAATTAAGTACAAAAAGGAATGGAGAATCGTCTACAAGTGACGCAGCGTTAATTTTTCTTTTTGATAAATGCAGACCAACTGCGTTTTGACGTGTCCACTACGCGAACAAAACGGGGTGCATTGTTACCGTGTTTTAATAATAACTGTACAGTGTTACCAGTGACAAATGCCACCTTACCGAAGAAGAACGGTTTCCTTAGTTTAGGAAATCTCTCTTCAAGCAAAGCTCTATGTGTGTGTTCGTTTGGACATTATGAGTTAGTATTAAACTACTGAGCCTCTAATTTTCCCCGTGGATACGAAGAAATATCTAAATGTTTAGTTAGAAAACTTACTGTAAGAAATCTTAAATTTTACATTTGTAGATCATGCCAATTTAATCATTAATATCAACACGTTAATATTATAGCAAAGATGGTTAATAATTGTAAAAAAGAAATAATGTTGGCCGTTCTAAAAGATAAAACAACAGATAATCTTAGAAAATGTGAATTTTCAATGATTGAATTCAATTTATTGGTATACGTACTTTCCTAAGTCCAATCGCAGCCATTGCCTAGTCCTAGGGTTGTCGCGTTTGGGTATCCGGTCGCAGGCTCGGTTCCTCGTAGAGTGCGTTGCTGAGTGTTTATAAGCGGAACAGCTGTTTTAACCGACCCCGAGGTTCAGGCTCCGAGGTTCAGGCTAGGCGCCTCGTGCGCCGGGCCACCTCAAGTCCGTCGGATCTGTAAAGGCCCCTAAGGCCAACAGTGGCTCATCCACCCCAAAAAAAAAAAAAAAAAATTTACCAACTTCAAAACTTCTTCTTTATGTTTATTACCTCAGAACTTTCGACTGGGCGAACCAATTTTGATGATCCTTTTTTTATTTGAAAGCTCGTGCTTCCTATGTGGTCCCATATTAATTTCATTAGTATTGGATTTTGGCCTCCAGAGATACTTAGGGACCTTCTGAAAATCAATTGTAAAATGAATACAGAGCGAGGTATTTGAGGTCGGTTTTGTTTTTCGTCAATAAAAAAATGGACTTGTTTATAAAAAAAAGTCTGCCAGAAGATAATTGCAGTTGGGGAAGTACTACATTTCGATAGTATTTGAATTCAAGAGCCTTGCCGTTTTGGATAGGCAAAACTTTTATACGAGAAGACGGAAGACAGAAAAGGCAAAAGACGTAGGCGCCTTCAAGGCAAGAGGTAATAGGTTTTTACTGAGCTATCGCGCTTATCATCAACGGCTGCATCGCCACTTACCATCAGGTGGGATGGCAGTCGAGCGCTGGTCAGTTGCCAGTTAAAAAAAGAGTCATTCATTTGTTGAAAATCTGTATATGCATGCGTAATACATACAGGTATGTATTAATACACGTCAGGGCTGAGAGTTCATTCGCGCAAATTTTGCACGAGAAATACTTAATAATTCCAACTCGTATTACATTACGTTATGTACATTTCACCAGAACAGCCGCGAGTTACTTCCTTTAATGAAAAGTAAATTATAAAACCGTTTAGCAGTCGCTAAATGAATTTGAAATCACAAAGAAAAACGGTTCGGATTTGTCGCCAACGAATGAAGACAGCCGCAGGACGAAATTAAATCAACGTGTTAACATTAACGTTACAATTAATATTCAGTTACTGTGAACAGCTTGTTTAACTTCAAAATTAATGCCATGATTTTTAGGCCAAAGTAAAACAATTGGCCCAGGAGATCTTTCCCAGCTTTGGGACGAAGCAGGGTAGTTAGGTAAAGTAAGAACATTCGTTGATTTATCACGAGAACTTAAGTTGGGATTATTATAGAAAATTAATGGGATGAAGGTATAAATCGAGGACAAATAGAATTATTTCATTTTTGTTTCATGATGGCATTTTATTTGGGTAAGAAAGGTGGTCCACATAACCCCATCTTCCATTAAAAAGGTACCTCCAAAACATTATACATTATACACGTCCTCCAACATGTCACAGTTAGTAGGTTAGACAAAAGTTGCTACGTAAATAGTAAATTACATGAATTTCGTATTACTTTAAAATTTCCTATTTTACTATCAGAATCATGATAGCTCAGTGTCCGGGCGCTCGCCTTTAATTTAATATACTCGAGCAACCTGAGTTCGATCCCCGGTGCCGGCACCAATGAAGTTTTTAACTTTAAGTGCTGACTTATCACGTGCTCCGCAGTGAAGGAAAACATCGTGAGGAAACCTGCATATTTTCGAAATAATAACAAAAAAAATATATTTCGAAGATATGTGAAGTCCGCCAACCCGCAGTGGGGCCGCGTGGTGGACTATGCCCTGATACCCTCTCTATAGAGGAGGCCTTTGCCCAGCAGTGGGACATGTATAGGCTGTTACTTTACTTTTTTTATCAGAACCATCAAACTGTAACCATATAGAAATTTTCCTTGCTACATTTTTATCTGAATAAATATTTGTTGCGTTATGACTGTTAAGATATCAATATGCCCAAGAGACTCGTCGAATTTTACGTGAACTTAAAATATTTGCCGCTGGTTGAGATAAGAGATAGATGTCTCTATATCTATACAGTCTGTACGTTTAAGTATAGAGTAAATACAATAGATATGTTTTTTTTTATTTTTTTTTTGCAAGAAGGTGGCAACCGAGCTGGCCATTCATCTGATGTTAAGTGATAATCGCCGCCCATTGACATTTACGACACCAGTTGGGTTGCAGATGCGTTGTCACCTTTTAATAAAGTGGGCCGCGGCTCCCTCACTCACCAGAAGAAACGCAGAAGTGATAACACTTCCACTTTATGCCGGTCTTCTTTGAGGATGTGCTACTTACACGGACGGACCTAATTATATTCGTGAAACAGCGAACTGTTCAATGGCCCTTTTTTTGGTATCGGGGGAAATCTTTGAATGATACCCTGTCACTTTATATGACAGGGTTATGTGGGGTAAAAACCCCCTCGGTGGCCGCCTTGCGTATATTTGGAGGGACTCCGGGATCTCC